CCTAAATAAATAAGTTTAAATAAATAAATTGAATTAAAAAATAAAAATATGACTTACGCCATTGTTTAATTGAACAGTAAGATCAACAACTGAAACATTTGCTGTTGGAACACGAAAAGCCATACCAGTTAATTTTTTATTTAAATCAGGAATTATTTTACCAATCTAATAAAATACAAGTCAATTTCTTTATTTATTAAAAATAAAATAAATAAATATACAGCTTCAAGCAGCATCAGTTGATGATGGAATAATATTTTGTGCAGCTCCGCGTTCAGCTCGCCAACTCTATTAAAATAAAATATAAATAAAAATCTCTTTTTTTTTCTTGTTTAATTTGATACTTCGTTTGATGGTTCATCAATAATGTTTTGTATAGAAGTAGATGAATGTACAGTTGTCATTAAACCTTCAATAATACCAAATTTTTCATGAATAACTTTAACAAGTGGTGCTAAACAATTTGTTGTACATGATGCATTTGAAAGAACTGTTTCTTTTCCTGTATATTTATCTTCATTAACTCCAATAATAAACATTGGAGCATCAGTTGATGGTGCTGCAATTATAACTTTTTTAGCACCAGCTTGTAAATATGATTGACATTTATCAATTGTTGTAAATATATCGGTTGCTTCAACAACACCCTCAACACCTTTTAAAAAAGAAATTAATCGATCAATCAATCATTATTTAAGATTACAAGAAAAAACGTACCAAGTTTACCCCATGAAACATTTTATGGTTCTTTTCTAAAAATAAAACAAAAATAATATATCTAAATTTGCTAATTTTTAAAATATTTACTCAATAAAGACGTTGATTTCATTTTCATTAACAATAAGTTTTCCGTTTTTATATGAAACATCACAGAAAAAGTTACATTGTGTTGAATCATGTTTAATCAAATAAACCATAAAATCAACAGAAATAAATGGATCTATAAAGACATATTTTAAAAAACATATAAATAATCAAATACAATACTAACCATTGATAACAGTTACTAGAACACCTTGTTCAAGTGCACATCGAAATAAAAGTCGACCAATACGATCAAATTTCCTCCCGATAACCATCTAATACCAAATAAACCACGTTTTGATAGACAAGAATAGAAAGCCCATAATTGTGGATTATCAGCAACTTGTGCCATTTGAAAATCTAGAAAGAAACGTATCAAATATTTTAACGTAGGATATCTTAGGTCAGGATTCAAGTATTTGATGAATGGATTCGCCATACAGTGCTCTCTAATTCTGACATATAACTCACCAAGTAGAACTTGATGTGCATCTGATAGAGCACATCGAGTTCTACCTGGAAAGTCGCATATCAGAGTTGGAGAGTATTGTATGGTGAATCCATTCACGGAATACTCGAATTCTGAGCTAAGTTATCCTACGTATATTTTATGT